TAAATGCAGAATACAGGAGGTTTCAGACACACAATCAAACTGAGCTTCATTTGACTTACACGAAAAGCATTCCAGTGAGATGTGGTTTAAATACCAGATTATAGCTTTAAATAGTTCCATGTCCTGATTAGGGTGGAAATAGTTGCGTCCCCAAAATGAAGTTCTGTTCAAAATTCAAATCTCACCTTTAGAACATAAGAAGGCAGAAAGAGGATGTATTGAATAAGGCAGTGTAATCCTATCATTCCAAGTAATCTTATCATTCCAAGTCAAGGGAATCACAACAATCCCCATCAGCATTCTTCTCCAATGGAGGTTTGGGTAAAAGAACAGGAAGGAGGGTCAGGGATGGCTTTTAAACTATCAGGTGAAGGGCAGCAAACGGAGATGTGTATTTCCCGAGATGTACCAAGTTTGAACCCCTCACGCTATTGTTTTGTCCTATCTTATGTGTGTGCTTCTCAAGATACCACAGTATTACAATCATCATCATACATCGAGGTCAAAAAGACCCCTAAAAATCCCACTTTGGTGGAATGTGTGATCCATACATGCACTGGTCTCCATTGCTTACAAGCTCCTGTGAGCCCCTCAAACACATCAGGAAGCTACAGATGGGTGAGCTGCCAAAACCAGCTTCAAACTATGCCTTCTCCCACCTGGCTAAGCTAAGAGCTGGGCAGAGGCACACAAAACCTGAATACCCCAATATAAATTAGTAAGAAAACAGTTACTAAGTTGTTGTCAAAAATGGATGCATTTGGTTTATGGAGACAAGCAAAGCAGATGAGAAAAGCATTTGTGTAACTGCAGAAAAATAAGGGAAATAAGCATCAACCATTTTCTGAAAGTCATCTGAAAAGAGAAAAGCATGGCGTAGCTGAGAGGCAAAAGCCACTTGGGATGAGAGGAGCAGAAAGCAACACCTGCCATAGCATCACAGAAATGGAGCATCACAGAAATGGCACTGCATGCTGCCAAAAAGGCATCTGTGAAAGTGACTGCAGCAGCAAAGCTTTACTGCGACTGCTGGACAAGGGAGCACCAGGGATGGATTATCTTCAGAGTCATGGACCACACATGGAATCACTGCAATCATTCATGAAAGCAAATGAGTTTACAAAGACGTAAATTGTAGAGTGAAACAAAAATACCCATGGATCCCAGTGCATCTGCAAAGAGAGAATTAGCAGAGCTCATTTTAAAAGAGTTATCACAGCTGAAGTGATAACATTATCAATTGTGTTAATTAAGAAAATAACTTCCTACCCTCTCACGATGTGTAATAGGTCTTAAAAACAATAAAAGAATGAATGATTTTATGGGAATGAGTAAAAGACAAAAGCTAGAAGTACGCATTAGTACCAGAGGGCACCGTTATCTTTCAAGGGGAAAAGGGGAATGATCTTTCTCTTTTCTTTGCCCAGTGATAATTATTTCTCAGATACTCCATGTCAAAGTTAGTTAGCTCTCAATGGCAGTTCATATTGTCAAATGTTTCTCTATTTGGAACCTCTCTTGCGTTTTGCAGAGCCCGCTCTGCCATACAGCCCATGGCAGGTGTGGGCCAAGGTCCCCATGGGCACTGCCTTGTTCCCCAGCCTCCCCAGCTGCTGCGCTGTCACCTTGAGTCCAACACACCAGGTGACAAACAGGGCTGCTCTCTTTCACCTGATGGTATCTTCAAAACTTGTTTCTGAATTTCTGTTTAGGTTGTGGATGCCCCATCCCTGCAGGCATTCAAGGCCAGGCTGGATGGCTCTGGGCAGCCTGGGCTGCTGGTTGGCAGCAGGGGGTTGGGACTGGAGGAGCGCTGTGGGCCTTTGCAACCCAGGCCATTCTATCATTCTATGATCCTACGTGACCCTCCTTGGCCAGCACTCTGCCTGGGTGCTGCATTTCAGGAGGTACACAACAGTGAGCAGAAAACTTAAAACAACCCCACAGCACCGCCTTCCTTGCTTTCCTTTTCTCCTTCCCCCTAATGCAGCCAGAGAGACTTCTATAAGGAAGACGATTCAATCTCAGTGGAGGACTCAAGTCTGAAGACTCACACTATGGACTATAGAGGGATCAGTCTTCCCTCTAGCAGATACCTTGTTTAACCCCCATTATCCTGGAGCAGATGCTCTCACTCCTGTTGAAGGGAACTCATCACTTCCAACAATGATTCCCTAGGTATTGACATTCAAACAAATGTTTCCCATTTTTCAGTTGAGCACCATGCTGCATCACACCAGAACTTTCCTTCGATAGCAAAGAATCACAAAGCTTTTGGAACATCACCTTTTTGACTGTATACAGGGGAAATACTTTACGATACCTATCACAGATCTGCCCAACCAACATCACAGTGCAGCGCAGGAAGGGCAGGGGTGGGAGAAAAGCACTCAGTTCTACGTGGCTCCCACTCAGGCTAAAGAGCTCTGCTGTAGGGGGGAACCTCAGCCCTGGATTAAAGACCCAGAAAGGGCTTCTGGCTGCTTATAGCCTAGAAGTATGCAGTAAGAATTGCTACTGAGTTTTGAAATTATCCCATTTTTATAAAGTCGAGGCCATAGTAAATTCACAAGTGATATTGACAGCATCAATATTTGCATTAGTAAGCAACCCTGCAGCAGTGGATCTGTAATGCTTGCAGCTGCTGTTGAAGTCCTGCTGCTGAGGACCTTCATTTTTCCAAGTCTGTGCACTTTTTCAGCACTGGCACTTAAAAATAAAAGGAATAACAGAAACCTATCTTGTTTTTTTTTTGGTATTTGTTGAATCCTCGAATAGACTGAATCCTCCACTGATTGAAAAACAAGTTCTCAGAAGTTGTTCCATAATTCAACTGCTCCATCAAACACGGCAGGCATATTTGGGCAAGCACTGGAAAACAGTTCCCAAGGCTGGTTCCTTCTTATTCCCTTGTAAGACCAGAGGACTACTTTGCAGCAGGTCTCCAATGACCGAGGTGTGGGAGCAGACAGCCACAGAGCACTGCCTGCCCATGCACACATCCATCACCCATCCTTCCAGCACATCTCATGCTGAAGGGCTGCAGTGCCTGTGAAAATAGATTTAAAGCCACAACAAAGGACACCAATTCGCTGCATCTTATGAGAAATGGACTCATGGTTGTTCTTGTGTTGCGGGCAATTCATATTTAATTAATACAAACGATTCCACTTTTAAATAATATATTCCTTAAAATGCAACTGTTCCACTATAGCCAACATCAGGGCATGCAAAATCCAGACACAGACGCTATATAAGGGCAATAGCAACTCTGAGACCTTTTCAGACAAGAGACAGAAGAGGGGTAGAGGGGAGAAGAAGAATGATTTTGGGTAGCTGTACCTGTTTGGTTGAATCAATGCCATGCTGCCAGCTCTGTCCCAGTTTCACTCCCTTCTCTCTTCTCAGTCCAATTGGGGCACTTCACAATGCCCTTTGTGGCTTGGCCACACTGTTCTGGGCCAAGAAAAACAGGACAATCATCTCCACGTATTGTAGGAGAGGAGCAGACCACGAGACAGTGCCTATTTCTTGATTTCTGCCTCAATAGAACCATAGAATCACCAAGGTTGGAAAAGACCTCCAAGATCATCCAGTCTAATCATCAGTATTTCCTACCAAACCCTCAGTACCACACCTAGATGGCTCTGGAACACCTCCAGGCATGATGACCCACTTCTTCCCTGGGCAGCCCATTCCAGCACCTGAGACCACTCTTCAGGAGAAGTTTTTCCGAAAAATGTCTGAATTTATCTAAATTTCGAAGTTTATTTGAGGGTCTGTTTTGCTCCATCATAAGATCACAGACTCATAGAATGGCCAGGGTTGGAAGGGACCTCAAGGATCACGAAGCTCCAACCCCCCTGTGCCATGCAGGGCCACCAACCTCCCCATTTCACAGCAGCCCAGGCTGCCCAGGGCCCCATCCAACCTGGCCTTGAACACCTCCAGGGATCACAGAATCACAGAATTGTAGGGGTTGGAAGGGACCTCCAGAGGTCATCGAGTCCAACCCCCTGCCAAAGCAGGTTCCCTACAGCAGGTCGCACAGGTCGGCATCCAGGCAGGTCTTGAACATCTCCAGAGCAGGAGACTCCACCACCTCCCTGGGCAGCCTGTTCCAGTGCTCCGTCACCTCACTGTAAAGAAGTTCTTGCGCACATTGGTGCAGAACTTCCTATGCTGCAGTTTCCAGCCGTTTCCCCTTGTCCTGTCTCCACTCACCACTGAAAAGAGTCCGGCCTCACCATACTGCCCCCCACACCTTAGATACTGATAGACCTGGATCAGGTCCCCTCTCAGTCTTGTTTTCCCAAGGATGGACAGGGCATCACAGCCTCTCTGGGCAGCTGTTCAGCTCCTCACCACTCCCTGTGTAGCTCAACAAGAGCAGGAAAACAAGCTGGAGAGGACCTCAGAGAAACAGGCACTCCTTACTGAGTGCTGTCACAGAAGGTCACCCAACCAGTTCTTCAAAGCTTTAATAATGGCAATCTCAATGCCTCCTTCGGAAGATATTTCCTGAGGTCAGTTACAGTTGTCACAGGGAGAATCACCTCTTAACCCCCATCATTAGATTGGATTTCTCTCATATTCCTATTTTCCTTCTGCAGATGAATAACATAAGGGACTAATTCCACTATCTTAGGAGAACAATTAATGCATATTCAATAATTACTGCTGAATTCAGCCCTGATAAAATACTTGTTATTGCAGACTGAGGTGTGTGTGGAACTGTGCACATGGAAGGACAGCTCA